CTTCCTTCCTTCCTTCCTTCCTTCCTTCCTTCCTTCCTTCCTTCCGCCTTTGAGTCAGTATTGACTCCTGGTGACTGGCTGGACAACTCCCTGCAGTTTTCTTGGCAAGATTTTCAGAAGTGGAAGAAGTTGCCATTGCCTTCTTCTTCCTAAGGCTGAAAGAGAGTGACTGGCTTAAGATCACCCAGAAGGCTTCATCCCTAAGGTGGGACTAGAACTCACAGTCCCCTGGTTTCTAGCCTGGTGCTAAGAAACTACACCACACTGGCTCTCTAACTGATCATTAAGTGATTATTAAAACACTGGGAGGACATTGGGAATAGCATTCAGGAGCAAGCATAGTAGGAGTCTACTTCCTTTCAAAAAATGTTCAGCTACAGAAGGTTTCTGATGGGCTTCAACATAGGTGCAGGAACCACTCAAGTAACTACAGTTACAAATAAGCAACTGGTTCAGCCTCTCCTTCTTCCTGAAGCTACTTGCAACTCCTGAAAAGTCTCTGGAGATTTGGGGGAGTCTCATTCACTTTCTGCAAACCATCTCATGTTATTCAGGATCAGAAAACATATCCCACAACTTTTTTGGGGAGGGGAACAAATGTCTCAAAAAGAAGGCATGAACATATGACCTTACATAATCTACCTTGTTTTAGAAAATTCCTCTTATCCCACCCCACATGGTTCAGGAATCATTCCCCATGTACAATCCATCAATTCTCCAGAGGGGCTTTGCAGGACAGAGAGCAGGAAAGTTCTTCTTTAACTTAGGTTCCAAACCTACTTTATTTTACACAGTATACAATAGCTATTCTTTCTGACACATGATTTAGAAGTGTAATATATATATATAAACCACCATTCTTGGTTGCCTGTCTAGAACTCAAAATATTTCAAATTAATTAAGATAAGATTATTGGTTCCATATGTTTGTTTTTTATTTAAGTGTGAAAAGACTTATAGATATTGGATAACTGTACAAATAACACAATTCCATTTTAACCATAAACACAGTTATCACCACGGTTGAGTGCTATCAAATATTTTATTTACAAAACAATTATTAAAATGCCTGATGCCAGATTTCCTTGTAATATCTTACCCATAGGGTAATAAGTCCACCATAATTACTAGGTGCTTTTTATATAATACAGAAGCAAAACACCCTATGTTAATAGTCTTTCTACAAAAAAATTCACAAAGATCTATGAATTTGACCAAAAATACCAATGGAAAATAAGACTCCAAAAATACAATTTCCCCATACTTACGTAACACAGAATAGGTTCAAAAAGGCACAACTCTGAAATTTGTATAAGTGTAAGAAATTGTCTTGGCAAAGGACCAGGACCAGGTTTTATAAATTGGTTGTCATCTTTTATGGCAAGTCTCACACATTTCCTCCATTTCACAGCACTCACATGTCACTTTCTTGCTTTCATTAGGTTCTTTCCAAACTCCCACAGAAGTTGCCCCATAGGAGCCCAAATAGCCCTCTTCTGTGATGCTTTTGTGCTGATTGCCACAGTGTTAGTGTCCAACATCAAGACTTTGATAGATACTATTTAGGACCCTTCTACACATCCCAATAGATTATTCAACTACTTGCTATGCTTTAGATCAGTGTTTCTCAACTCAACTTTCTTGGCAACTCTAAGATGTGTGGACTTCAATTCCCAGAATTCCCCAGCCAGCATAACATTGCCCTAGAGCACCAGATTGGTTCACTGGCAACTTCAGGGGAAAGAAGACCTAGAATTGTGCCTGGGGCCTGATGGAAAGCAACGAGTGAAGTAATGGAAGGAAGGATCTCACTTAGGCTGATATTATATACCCATACTGTATAAGAACTGCTCAGTAGGAGAGGATATTTTTCCTACCTGGTCTTTATACTTCTTCTCTCTCACACACACAGTAATGTTCTGTAGGAATGGGGCAGCAGGACTGCAACCTTTGCAATTAAGGACCCATTACTTTTAATAACCATAGAATGATATAAATACTGATAACATAATACAAAACACAGCAATTTAAGGCAGTGATCATTCAATGCTACACATCTTTTTTTTTCAAGGTAACACTTATTTGATCAAAAGGAAAGTGCACCATGATATAAAGTTATAAGTAAACTGGAATTCATCTAAACACAACTAACATGCCGTCTTAAGAAGCCTCAAATATCAGTAGAAACTGAGGACAATAGCAAACCTAGCAATAACTCTGGAAAAAGCTAGTGAAGGTTTTTAAAGAGAGGCAAAAACCTTGTTTCATTTTCCTTTAGCGGAAATTTGCTCATTCCAATGTGTTTCCTTAAAGATTGCTTACGAAGTCCCCATGAGCAAATATGAAAGGTGATCAAATACTGCACGTATACTATCCGACATCTTTACAAATCTGGGATAAGCGAGCCAGTATTAGGATCACTGCATTACAGATTGTGTTGCCTAATGCCACAGAAACATTGCTTGCATGACGTGGGATGCTATAAAGCTGCAGGAGAGACTTAGAAGAGTGGCAGAGGCAGGAAGGAGTTATTTCCATTCTCTCTTACTTGTGCTCCCTCCCAGTCTGCTTTTCCTGACAGGGATAATTTCCTGCCCTACCTTCCACTGAGGAGGTAAAGCAAGCAAAGTGAAATGGGAAAGAAATATTTACGTAGGGGAAAAGCAGAGATATCCTTCTCTTACCTGTCTGTGGTACACTTCAAAACCTGATCTATTTTTTTATAGAGGAAATGGAAGCAATCAGATTTTAACCATGGGCTTATTTCTGGCCCATAGGCAAACTGGGTGCTTCGCAGTCAACACTTCTAGCTGTTATACTGTATAGGCTGATAATGATAAAATGCTAAGCCGTGCACTGAAAAAGGGATCTCTGGACATAAGAAATCATGCCCTCCTCAACCATATGTTACCAGGTCTATCTTGAGGGTCTGGACATTTTTTTAAAGTAATAGCTAGTATTGCCACACTTGCAGGAGGATTACAGGAAATTCTAGCTCCACACAGTTTTAACCAAAAATTTGGACTCAAAACAGGAAAATGAGAGGATTTTTTTATGGTTGCTTAGTGTCAATGTGGATGATTAAATCAAGACATGTAATTTTTGATGACCAGACTGGATAATTTTCAAGTCCGTTATATTTCCATGCTTTTCTGAGGAATATAGGCCTGTCTGATGCAGATATATTCAACTGCAATTGCAGGTTTATGAACAAGCAAAGCAGATGGAGAACATTCAGTGACAACTGAGATGGCAACTGATTCAGGGCAGTTTTCCAGCATGTGGAAAAAAACACAAAAATAAAAGGCACACCTGGGCCTACATAATGCTTAATAGCAGCACTAAAATCTTGCTTGCCTGGAGGAACCATTGCACTGGCCTAGAGCATGCCATGCTTATAGTCATGTACCCAGGGATCTTTCCCATCTTCATGGTCATTACCAATGTCCACATAAGACTTCCATTACTCTACTAGCAGGCATAAACCTTTTTGTCTGTTTTTATTAAATATGAAGGATTGATATTATTACCAGTCAGGTTTATTTTGCCCATCCTGTGGTTGCTTCCCCATTGATGTAGGCAAAGCCAGGAAAGTGTTGCATGTGCTCGTATTCAGAATTTCTCCGTGTGGTTAATGGGGTGTACATGTCACTGGAATTTCCATATCTTGTGGAATGCATGGGTGGACTTGTATAACAAGGGTTTGCTGAAGGCACCTCTGCCCAGCGAGGTGTAACTGGAGATGGATGCAGTCTTGGGGTGCTGCTCATCAAGCAGGGCTCCATCCGTGAAGACGGGCTATTGAAAGGGTACTAAAGACATGAAAGTACATTGTGAAAAAGTTTGTCACACATCTACATTTCGGAAAGAAAACCACAAAAAATAAAATAAGAGTTAAGGTTCAAATTCTGTCCAAGCTGTCTCCTCAACGTTTTATGGTGTGCAGTACAGAGTTACAAAAACCTGTGATTGTTCAAGGGAAAACAAAGTTGTTCTGGGAATTTTAACTCAGTATACAATAAATCCATCCCTTCTATCAAATCAGCAAACACCTAAGTTAAATATTAAATGTTTGATATTACAATTACTATAAAATAATAAATATACCTCACATTGTATCATAAAGTATCACATACAATTGTTTGCAAATGTGTAGCCACACCTACTTACATTGTATGCTTTAATGAATCCCTAAGTGAACAGATCCTAATCTTACAACTGAAGTAGGATGATAAAGCAAGTAAATTGGAGGAAGCTGCAAATTCCATCGTACGGGAGTAAGCCTTGGTATGAAAGAACTTTTTTCATTCACCATTTCCATCTTCATTCCAGACCCTTTTTGCTCCAGATTTCAGGTCCACCAGGAACCTGTATCTCCTGACTTGAAAACTGTATTTTTTATTTGGAAACAGTGAAAAGGGCCTAGTTCCAAAAAAACCCATTTTCAATCAGACATAATAGTATTTGATAATTCAGTCATTTCTAGACTAGAAACTTTATATGGACTTTTTTGCTGAAAAAAGAAAAAATGATATGATGATTTATGGGTATGAGGATTAAAAAAGATGTGGACTAAGTGAGGGCTTGAAGGGATCTGTATAACATCTAGGAGGGAGGATTATAAGTTTGTAATTATCTGTTGAAGAGAAGTTCAGAAGTCATATTTCATAACTATAGTTTCCTTTTTTTTCTTGCCCCTTTTTCTTCTTCTTTTCTTTCTTTTCTATCTTTTCCTTTAGATTTGACTTTTACAATAGGTAAAATTCTCAATAAATACAAATAAATAAAAAAGATAATTCAGTCATTTCTTTCAGCATTCACTGTGGCAGGACACAATATATAATTCTGAGGCAAATCTTGACAAATATAAAAGATGTATATTTGAATGGCACCTTTCTACTCAAGATCAGTGTTTTTTAACCTCAGCAACTTCAAGATGTGCAGACTTCAACGCCCAGAATTCCCCAGCCAGCATGGGAGGTGAAGCCCACACATCTTAAAGTTGCTGTGGTTGAGAAACACTGCTCTAGATTGTGGTACTATGACACACAGGAGCACAGATAGTTGTTTATTGAGTGATGACAGTGGTTTGATTTTGCACAATGCAGCAGGACGTACAGTATGGCTTAAACATCGCAGTAGTTGGGTTTACTCAACACATTTTAAAGCCATACCCAAACACACCTGACTATTGCTTAGTACAATTTGTGAAGCCAGCATTCGTCTCTGGAGGTTTGGACTCTGCACAGGGACTATCCTTCTTCCTTCTCATTGGCAGTGCAAGAAAAGAGTCTCCTTAAACGCTGCCATCGATTTGATGATCTGCCATTCCCCGTTTCATTAACATTCCAAGGCAAGCAAGCCCAGGCAGAAAAAAAAGGCTAATAAACGACTGTAAAAACAAGGGGAACAGGGACACAGTGAGTTGTTTCTCTGTGTGGCCAACCCTGTCACTCCCCCCGTTGATGCAGCTGTGTTTATGAATGTGTCATGAATATAAAAAAGAATAATTGCTGGAAAATAATATGGCATTGCAAATATGTAGTATTTTTACAATAAAATCTGTGATGGCTGAAGCCCCAGCACGGAAAGATTTGTAACGGTAGGTCAGCTAATTGCAAATGAGTCAGGGCCTTCTTTTTCCTTCCAGTGAAGAGACTATTGAGAAACAATATTTTTAAAGTCCGCCTTGGACCCTGCCTGCCTATTAACTCCACCAGTGAAGCATCTATTCAGCCTTGTTGGAGTGTCCAAGGCTTCACCATCTGCGCGGATGCCTGCCCAAGCAGTCTGAATCACCTTTCACACTTCGCATCCGGTTTAATGAAGAGTGCTTAAGCACGCTGATCTCAAAACACTGGGGCCTAGTGATCTTTGCCTAGTATAAAGGCGACGTTTGTTGGAGAGCCCTTGACAGGAAATTACCATTTTCTGGGTCAACTCACTTGCCATCCCCATGCCGTTGAAACTTGACAAGAAACACTAGTCCCTTTAAGTTGGGGTGACTTTAAGCTGATTATTGTTAAGGCCCTTTCTCCCCGAAATTTAAAATGAGCTCTAGTTCTTTCCCGTTATTATTTTAGAAAATGCTATTTTAAATGTCTCCTCCACCCAACCAAGGTTGAGTTCTTGAAGATCAGTCTGAAGAATAATCTCTTTATTCTTATCCTTCAGCTTGCTGGTTGATTATGCAAAGAGTGAAAGGTGTCTCTGTTCAAACAGCAACAATATTTTCCTTCTGAATGCAACTCTAATATTATAAGTTTTATTCATATTTTAGTAAATGCACTATCTCTGATATAAAACAAAATATTATTGTTCAAATCTTTAGCCTTACAGTATTGTAATATATTTCACTCTGTTCAAACAGCAACAATATTTTCCTTCTGAATGCAACTCTAATATTATAAGTTTTATTCATATTTTAGTAAATGCACTATCTCTGATATAAAACAAAATATTATTGTTCAAATCTTTAGCCTTACAGTATTGTAATATATTTCACTGGTCTTTTAAAAAATGCACATTAGATAGTATGGAAAGTACATTGTAAAATCAAGACATAATATAGATTTTTTAATTGGTGACCATATAAAATATTACAACTCTTGTTTTCCATGTCTAATGCTTCTCCATTTTTCACTTAATATATGATGGGACTATTGAAATTCAGTTGGTGATTTCAGAATGAAATTGAATCATACCCAGTTCTTGCTCAGAGTACTGATACTTGGGCTGGCTCCACAGAAGGGGGACATTTGTCCACTGAAGGCCTTACTTAACTACTTTTGGAAGAACAAAAGTCACAGTGGGTGGGGCAGGACAGAACAAGGGTTTTTTTAGTCTTGGGGGAAGGGTTTTTTAAAAATTTGTTTTAACTATGTTAAAATAATTTAGAATTTTCATGTGTTTTTCTACCTCATGGTGGTATGTAACCATGTTATCAATTTTAGTAACTGTAGTTAGAAGGGACCACACAAAAGATTTTGAGAGCTGCGTGTGACCTTGGGGCCTCAGGTTTACCACCTGTGTCATAACCCATGGTTTATAAATCATTACAGCTGGATTCATGCAACACTCTAAGCTGAAACCAAATAAATCTCTGTATGGCTTTATATGATGTCTGGACCCCACCATAAACTCCTTGTTTATCTTTACAACTTGAATGCACATGGGTTATATAGTCAACTTCACTAAATCTTTTCCTCCCTGGGTGTTAAGCTTGCCACTTGATCTTCTGTGCTTTTAACTGCAGGCTGAAAGTAGCAGGTGAAGCCTTTCTCATCATGGACAATGCAGGCAGGAAAAGTTTTATCTGTTAAATTTCTGTCAGGCTCCAGATAAAGGCACAGGGGCAGGTCTGTGGTAAATCTACTGGGTGAAGGGGGTCTGTCCAAAAGAAAAAAAGCAGAAGCAATTTTAATCTTAGCATTATCGCCACCCAAACATTAGGGGTGACATCTCAGAGATGCTGTGCTGCAAACTGTACGTTTTGTCCACAAGGGAGTATGATCTGGTCATGGGATACAAATAACTTCAACAGGGTGAAGGGTGCAAGTGCTCTGAACCTGAGAATTCTCCCATCCATGCTCCATTAAAAGGAAAGAAAATCATGTTTTGTTCACAAATACATTTTATTCTGCTCAGAAGCTGTAAACCACTGTGGAAAATAGACACATTAAATCTGGAGTTCCTTGGAAGTTCCTCTTTAAAAGTATAATTGTTTAACGTTCATAAATATTAAAAATCTATAGCCTGTATTTGTCAGGACTTTGCCAATTTTCTTATCAACCAACACTACTTAAAGGCAAATAAATAATCAAATATTGAGTGTACTACATGTAAAAAGGGGGCAGGGTTTGATTTTGTGGTTGCAGCTACCACCCTGCCTTTTTTGAAAACCCTCCCTAAGGCTGCCCCATGGATGTCTTATTTAACCTAATTAGCTGTGACACTGTTGTGCAGGGGTTGACACTGACCTGTGAAGAGTTCCTGTGATAAGCTGAGTAATGGAGGGGTGCAGAAATAGTGCTGTCATGTGGTAAAGATGGATACTGACTCTGCATCGGGTGGGAGTGCTGGTTTCCATAAGTACCATAGTTATAACTTCCTGTGTACCTGAAAAAATACAGAAGAGTCTTGGAACTGTACTTCATATAATGATCCTGTCCCCAGACTGAGGCTAATTGGATAACTAATTGTTGGAGGGGACCATGCTGGGGAAGGGTATTCTATGCTTGGTTACCCCTTCCCTCTTCAAAAAAAAAATTAACCTACCCATGTTCTTCTCTATGGTGATAAACAGGTATCCTGTGGGTCACAGATGAAGGAGGAACATGAGGATTTCTCATGCAAGGCAGTTGTTGAGAGTTTTCAGCAGGTGATCCAGCAGCTGTAGTTACAGTGTAGGTGAGAGACCATGTGTAGGATTGCATGGCCCCTACATAAAATAGAAGGAACCAGTTAGCTTCCAAATGCTTTACAATCTCCATTAAACTCAAATGCAAGGATAGTCTGTAGATCGTGTAGAGTCCTGATACGGTGGGAGGAGGAGGAGGAGGAGGGGAGAGAGAGTTGGACCTGATGGTGAATGCCAGAATCCTAGGTAGT